TCTAGCCTCTACACAGCGGTTGCTTTGGTAAATCGCAGTACTGCAAATCGAGGTTACATATCATCATCATCATCAGGTGCCTTGCCGACTGGCGTGGGCGATCATGCCTCTCCATAAAAGTTAAATATACGTATGTTTAAAATAGGTTAATCGTGTTAATCTGTGCTCAGATAATATTCGATTAATTTTCGAACAGTTTTCAGTTTTATGTACAGAGGGCTACGGTTATTGTTACTTCTACTTATGGAAGATTGTTCCCTAGTTTGAGCTGTGGGGTATGTTAAACCTGTTTTGTGTAGGTTTATCTTACGTTTAGGGATTTATAATATGTTCAAAATAAAATGGCGAATTATTAACCCCGTCCTTATGTGGGACAACATTTGCTTGTTATTTTAAAGTTGACACCTCGTTGTCTCCTTGTGGGATGCAATTGTTAGTTATTTTGAAGCCCCACCCTGGCTTTTGCCGGGGGCCCTGAATATAGCCGGACCATAAATGTGGCTTAAAGGGGGTTTCTGGGACCTCTCCACGGGTGATCCTCATCCGCATGGTGGCACCTTGTGTCACCGGTTGTTATCGCTTGTGCGATGTTCTGTCTGGGGATGGGGAGGGGGGGGGGTACAACAACAAGAGAGAGAGAGAGAGAGAGAGAGAGAGAGAGAGAGAGAGAGAGAGAGAGAGAGAGAGAGAGAGAGAGAGAGTTTTAAGGTCCTCCCTTGCTGTCGTCAGGAGTCCTCACTATAACCTACACGTTGAACAGGGTTTCTAAGACTTGGCGGCAGGTGATTCTTAGCCGATTGGTGGCACTTTTACGTCAGTCAGTCAAAGTGCGAATGCTGTATAAAGATACAGATGACTCAATAGACTTTCTTCTCACAAGCTGTTTACACCTTTTAAAAAGGCGTTTGACATAATGTGTTGCCGTTTACAGATATGCGGTGATATCGGAGCCTTTCTATAACACTAGATTTAGGCAAACCATTAATTAGTCGCCTTTTACACCATGCTTGTTGGGGGACAGGTAATGGATCTATTCCCCCTTGCGATTCCTAATGGGGCTCGAACCCCACACGAAGAGCTGTTTAATCCGAAGATTAACTAAGTCATCTTCTGTTGTTCTCGCCCTGAGTTGAGTTATGAGTTAGATTATCTTCACAGCACTCCGGACAAATCCATAGGAGCTCAGATCCCCTCTCAGCATATTCATCAACGACGCGCGGTTAATAGTGCCAGTCCTATGTTGGTTAACAAGACTTCCTGTGCGTCCGGTGGGCTTCTCATGCTTGGCTATGCCGATCTTGACTCCCAGTTCTCGTATTCTTAGCAGTGAAAAGTGCGGCTGGAACGTGGTACTGCGATGAGCTGTATTATCTCCCCCTTTTGGTTTAATACAAAGTATTTCAACAAACCGTTAATGATTTGCTTGTACGACATGCATATTAGTGTGTCTATTCTTCCCTTTGCCTTCCAAAATGAGGCTACAAAATCCATTCGGTGGTAACTAAGGTTAGAGCACGCGTGTTGCAATTGAATGCTAGCCGTAAAGCTTATCACCATTCGCGACCAAGTAGGTTAGTTTTGCAAAGCTGGCAAAGTCGATTGTTGACACTACTTTGGTCTACAACTATACAGCTCTGCTGCTTTCTTTAAGTCTGCTATAAAGGGGACCAAAGATTATTTGACGAACTTGTCCCTAGAATTATATGCGTCTAACACAAACTATATAATCTCAGTCATTTAAGGTTTTTACTACTCAAACAGAAACTATAATCTCCTATAAGGTAAGATTATTACTACTCTAACATAAAATATGTAACTCTGACAGAAAATATATAACTTCAGTACTATAATGTAACACGTTTACTACTCTAACAGAGAATGTGTAAACTCAGGCATATGGGAAGTGCACATCATATTTTAAAAACCAATCGGCTCTAAGTGGGTAATGTGGTCAGCATTACACCGGCCGTCTTTACTTCCCCAGGACATCCATCCTGATACCCATTTTAGGCTAGGTCGACATGCTTTACGACCTGTTTATCTGGTGCACAGATTTTCCGGTGGTATTCACTATTCAAAAGTGGGGTAGAAATTGTTACTAATGCAACTAGACCCTGGACGCCCAATTTATGTTTGTAATGATGAACTCATTGCAAAAGTGACAAAACAGATACACGAAGATCGTTGTTTTACTGTCAGGATGATGGCAGAGGAATCTGGTGTTAATAAAGAGATACTTCAGAAAACTTTAGTGCAAGATTTTGGCAAGAAAAAAGTTGCTTGTAGGTTTGTGCCACATTCGTTGCCTGATGACCAAAACAATCAGCGGGTTGAGTACCCACGAGACATCCGCAAAACAGGAATTTATAGTGCCAAAACAAGTGTGTGTTCTCAACCACCCACCCTATTCCTAGATTTGTCTCCCTGTGATTATTTTATATTACCAATATTAAAGTTACCATTGGAAGGACGCTTTTCTGACCTTATTGATGATATCCAAAGGGTCGTAACATCAACTTTAAGGGACCATACCAACATAATAAATACAGAGGTCGTTCCAGTGTTTGTTAGATCGGGTCACTCACTGTATCAATGTACAAAGGGGCTAACTTTGAATAAAATAGACTTGATAGTTTTAATATTTATGGAATTAGTGACATTACTTAATGGTCGGACCTTGTATAAGGGACGATTATTACAACTGTAACAGAAAATATATGACCTCAGTACTAATTCACCGTCCTTATTAGAATGCAATTTTTCGTTATTTGAAGCTCCACCTTAGCTCTCGCCGGGGGCCGCAATATAGACAGGCCATAAATATAGCCTAGTGGCAGAGCGCGGTTTCTGGGACCTCTTCACGGTGATCCTCATCCACATGGTCGCACATAGTGTCGTCGGGTGTTTATCGCTTGTGTAATGTCCTGGTGGGGTAGAAAGTCAGTCAGTCACCTCAGTACTATTACGTTAAATTAAACTACAGTGAAACCTCATTAACACCGATTCAAAAGTACCGAAACTTTAGTTCGTTTTCAAAATAAATCGTCCTAACTGGGAATAATATAATGGATGATGTGCTGGGAGGGATTAAGACCCTTTGATTTAAAAGATTTTGGCAACAGACTGGTCATCACAGAGAGCAATGTTATACATGTAATAAGCTGGAGAACGCCAAAGACTGCTGTTTAGCAGCTTGACGATTTTAGTTTGTTCGGTGGATACTCTGGTTTACAAATCAGTAAAACCCGGCCAGCTATCAGTTAATAAAAGACCTTGCTTAGTTTTTTATCAGCCTATTTGACTTCCAGACGGACCCTGTGGAGACCTACCCAGCTGAGCGTATGGTGTCATTATCATATTTCCTTGTTAGCTGGAGATGATTAGCACTTTAGATTCTTCCTCCGGTCGAGCACGTTGGGTGTTGTTAATGTTGTTATATTTGTGAACCAAGCTGATTTTATGTTAAGTAAAATAAAGTTATAAACAGATGTTCAGTGTGGTAATTATAGTTCCAGTTGTTTTTAGTTCAGATTAGGACTTGTGGTTAGTGTGCCTAGTTTGTTTATTTGTTGCTTGGCTGATCTAGACTGAACACAGAAGATTTCTTGTCTGGGCTAGAATATTTCTGTTTCTAGTTCCCGCCTAACTATTTTCCTTTATGTTTTTCTTGGCACTTAGGGCTTTTAACTTTTAGTACATACAGATACAACGGTAGCAGAGCCAGAGGTCGAACACGCAGAAAATTGACCCCAGAAATATCAGAGACACTGAAAAATACTAAATATGAAGCGAACAGAAGGGCCGGTTCCTGATATCTCCCCCTGACATGACGCCGCGAGGCATTCCAAGAATAGAAAAAAGAAGAAGGACAAAACGAAGAACACAAACATTGTTGGTGCGCCCCTATACATCGCTCTTAAGAGATATTGTAGCCCCTCCCCCCTTTTCCCACCTGCCCATAGCCGTCTTAACAGCATTGTGGGCCACTAAACAAACCTGTGTGCTGAGGCCTCTATGACAAGCACTTTACAGGAATGAAATGTGTATTGTCACTCTCATATATATGCTCGTATAGCCCCCGGGTGAGTGTCCAGCGAGCCCATGTGTTACGACTGCTCTGGTGTCCCCATGTATGTATTTGTGTGTGTGTGTATGTGTGTGTGTGCATTGTAAGGTTAGTTGCGTATCCTTTACAGGACGTTTGCAGAACCAACCCCAACAGCCCCTGGCTGTTGTGTGGGTTTTCTAGTCAAATTTACGTCCAGTAGTTTGCCATTGCTTTCTGGACGCAAGGCGCATAGCCCACAGCTGGGATCGAACCCGGCATCCCGGCATTACGAAGCGTTCGCATCGACTTAGCCACAGAGCCGACGTGTGGGTATTTTGCAAAATGTAAATAATAACAAAACATAAAATGGAATATTCATTATCAAAATTAAACAAAACTTACAATGAGATTGAAAATAATGTAACTTTTTGTATACTTCCACTTTATTTATATTTAAAACGTTCTCTCCTACTTTCCAAAAAGTCAGTCAGTGATCAGATCCTCAAACTAATCTTATCTAATACATCTGTTTTTCTGATGGGTTTTTTACACTTACCTCAAGTGACAAAGCAAACGCTCAGCTCCTAGGTTTTGAAAGTGTATGTGGTGCGCCCCTTCCTTCGTGATGCCCACATGCCCGTGCTTAGTGTGTTTAATGACTAATCCTGCACTGATTTTGTGGTCAACATCACGCTGGCCGCTCCGAATTCCCATCAAATTTGTACTCATCTTTTCCTGGGTCGAACTGGGCGTCAAGCTCGTTTTTTCCCCCCCCCCTCCCAAATGCTTCCCAGGCAAATTCGACCCTGAGTGCGTGCGTCTAGCCACAAAGCTACCCTGACTCCTAGTGAGTAGTGTACTCGTTAATAATTTAATCATTGTTTACTCTGTTTTTCTCATTACTCAGATCCATCATTTGTTTTAGCTTGAGGCAAATCCGCAACTTCCAAAGATGATTGGTGGCGCTGTAAAAGTCGGCATCGCGGCTATTATTGTGTACAAGATAGCGGAGTTCCTGTTGAGACCAGGTGCTGATGCAGATGTCCATTTCAAGAAGCATTATCCAGGAGAGTGCAGGTAATCGTCAAAACTGCTGTCAGCTTTATTACAATTAAAGGGATGGTATTACTGAGCGAAGGCGCAGCAGCAGGAGTAAACAATAAAAAGATAGCAGAAGAAGAAGAAGCAAAAGAGGAGGCAGAAGAAGAAGAACAAGAAGAAGAAGAAATGATAGTTATAATTGTGCTAGCGGGAAGAGGTTAAAAAGAACAAATAGTAAGGAATTGAGGAAAGAAATCTGGCTAGGACAATAAGTAGTTTCCCTCTGAGCTGCCAAAACAGGAAAAAATAGAGAAAAGACTAGGGTTCTTCTATGAGAAAAGACAAGGGTTCTTCTATGAGAAAAGACTAGGGTTCTTCTATGAGAAAAGACTAGGGTTCTTCAATGAGAAAAGACAAGGGTTCTTCTATAAGAAAAGACAAGGGTTGTTCTATGAGAAAAGACAAGGGTTCTTCTATGAGAAAAGACAAGGGTTCTTCTATGAGAAAAGACAAGGGTTGTTCTATGAGAAAAGACAAGGGTTTTTCTATGCAGGGGCCATAAATGTTGATCATAGCCCAGGTGGTGAATATGTGAATAGCTGAGTTACACAACAACACATGACTACGTAGACAAAGTCTAGAAAACCACGTAGACGAACTACAAGTTCTGTCTTGAATCAAGCAAATTAAAAACCATCACATTCAACACCTGTTTATTTTCCTCAAGACAAAACTAATGAGCTTCACAGATAACATTACATTAACAACAATTAACGTATCCGAACAGACCATGTGCTTATTACTTCAGCTAACAAGGAAATAGGATCATGAACGCATACGTTCAGAAAGATTACATGTGCGTTTAGATTTCACAGTACCACCAGATCAGTAAATCGCCTCCAGCGTCCTGCCATCAATCTATTTCTATACGAGGATGCACAATAGAATTCTAGATTTAACATATATTCTAACTACCGATGGAAATTTTGATCTAACACTGTCTTTCAACTATAGAAAAGTACCCACACAGTAATCAGTCAGATAATTCTTCCATCTCCGCTCAGTCACCCGAGCCTACGCTGCTAAGCCCATGTGCGGTGCCGCCGCCGATAGGTTAGATCTCCTATCCCCGGGCGACTGGCCAGATCAGAATGCGGAAGCGAGGAGAACCTTCTCGGGCTGGACAACCCATTTTGTAACCTTCTGATCCCCACGCTTGTCAGATTTCAATTTGCGAGCTCAGCCAACCAAAAATTATTAACGGCCTTGGCACGCGGCTACACATAGCCCTAATAAATTTGTCGCCTCTTTAACTTCTGTTCTACAATCCACCAAGTTACTGGTCATAGCTAACCGAAACAAAATTATTTTCATGACATCACAGACATTATTTGTTGCTTGATAACTGTCATTGACATATAAGGAATGCATGGCTCATCGCAAGAAAACGGGATAATGAACGTACACTTTCTAAGTAGGAAATTGCCTCAATCGTGACGATAATATCTTGTAAGCATTTGCTTTTTTAAGTTTCAACCATCATCAGATCAGTAAAACCATCAGAAACTCCTACCTACATCAATGATGGCAATAATCAATGGAACATGTCACTACTGGCTTTTATGTTCGAGACACCAGCTGATTAATAGAATCATTACAAATCCCTCACCTCTTTTCCATTTCTCAATAAAACAATGCAAATAGCGAACACATAGTGAACATCAGGATTCTTGACTATTTAAAGTTCCTCTTCGGCGTTCAGTTATTTTTCACAGATCTGTTCTTTCAGCTCCTTATTACTTGAGCCATGGAGATAATATTAACATATGTCACTGTTGTCTTTCGAGAGACGTATTTCACTATTGCCTAAGCCATGTGGTTTTTGAGAGACATATTTCACCATCGTCTAAGCCGCGTCGCTTATACCACTGCTCTGGGGAAGTTTGCAATAAATGTGATCCGACAATACCTCGGCCGGAGGACTACAATGGACGTGATAAGACATAGCAATGTTAAAGCACTTTACAGCGTAACTGGGATCGATTGGTGTATATCAGACAAGGTTATATAACATGAACAGACCTAAAGTTCAGCCTGACACGGAGATACAATAATAAAAAAAACTAACCCCAAGCTTAGATCGAGACGTAAACAAACCATTTCTTAGTGAACGATAGACAAACCACTGCTTACTCAACAAACCTGTCGCTTCACATCTGACTATACACCTATAATTACCTAGGCAGCACTTAGACAATTTCTGAACTAACCTAAACTATGACAGCCTGAACCCACTAGACTTGACACACAAAACAACTTGCTGGCCACCTATCCTGCCGACGACGCCTAGAAGTCAAGCTTAAGGGGGATGTTGTATGAAGGGAAGTTAAAAGAAAGTATAAAGGATAATATAAAAATCTGCTTCCTGAACCTATCTCTACTCCAAGCCTACAAGCTCCAACAAAGATTGTCGTGGTGAGCGGAAACCGAAACCCACACCAAAGCTGCTTTAGTAACATAAACAAAAAAGTTAGGTGGAAGCTTTCATCCATCTACATGATAGTAATAAGAATAGGAGGATGGCTGGATACATAAGAAAAGAGACAAAGGGGAAATGAGAAAAAAAGAAAGATTAGGAAGAGGAGGAAGACCCCACGAAGAAGAGGAGTAGGCAGAAGAAGACGAGCAGAAGAACAATAGGAAGAGAAGTTAAAAAAAATTAATAACATAAGAAAAAGAAGAATCAGTAGTAGTAGTAGTAGTAGTAGTAGTAGTAGTAGTAGTAGTAGTAGTAGTAGTAGTAGTAGTAGTAGTAGTAGTAGTAGTAGTAGTAGTAGTAGTAGTAGTAGTAGTAGTAGTAGTAGTAGTAGTAGTAGTTGTAGTAGTAGAAATATTAGTAGTAGTAATAGTAGTAGTAGTAGAAAAAGGAGAAGAAGGAAAATAAGAAGTAGTAGAAAAAAGAGAAGAAGAAGAAGAAGAAGAAGAAGAAGAAGAAGAAGAAGAAGAAGAAGAAGAAGAAGAAGAAGAAGAAGAAGAAGAAGAAGAAGAAGAAGAAGAAGAAGAAGAAGAAGAAGAAGAAGAAGAAGAAGAAGAAGAAGAAGAAGAAGAAGAAGAAGAAGAAGAAGAAGAAGAAGAAGAAGAAGAAGAAGAAGAAGAAGAAGAAGAAGAAGAAGAAGAAGAAGAAGAAGAAGAAAAACATGAAGAAGAAGAAAAACATGAAGAAGAAGAAGAAAAAAAAAAAAGAAGAAGAAGAAGAAGAAGAAGAAGAAGAAGAAGAAAGTAGTAATGTAATAGCTGTTGCTGTTGTAGTAATAGCAGCCGAAGCATTAGTAATAATAATAATAATAATAATAATAATAATAATAATATTAATATTAATAATAATATTAAAGTAATGATAATATAATGATTAGTAGAAAGAGAAAGAGGAAGAGGAGGAGGAAATGTTTACTTATATCTGAGTTTAGTTTATTATTAACGAAAACAAACTGACAATTACCTACATTACACGAACTTAAATTACACTGGTTTACATGACTTCTGTTATTTCTGTAATCTCTGGGTGTGCCCTCTCACCTTCTTCCCCAGGCAAGTAAAAGGCATCGACTTCGGATCGGAAGATTTGGAAGTCACCAAAGATGGTCTGGCTTTTATTACATCTGGCCTATGGTTTCCTGGAGCTCCAAAAGGCTTCACTGATATGATCACAAATAACAATGCCAAAGGAAGTATATTTCTGTACGATTTCAACAAACCAGACTTGGGAGCAAGGAAACTGAAATTGATTCCCAGCAAACACTTCGACCCAGAAATATTCCACCCGCACGGTATCAGTCTCCTTGAAGACGAAGCCAATGGCGAACATTTACTCTACGTTGTCAGCCACCGCAAAGGTAAAGATGACGCTGTGGAAAAATTCAGATACTCACCGAAAACAAATGAACTAATCCACGTGAACTCTTTCGCCGGCGATGAACTTCACATTACCAATGACTTGGCCGTGATTTCAGAGGATAAGTTTTACATTACAAACATGATGTATTTCAAGAATCCTTATTTGAGCATCATAGAGAACTTGCTGGCCTTACATGTTGGCTCTCTGGTATTCTTCAACGGTACTGGGTTTACCACAGCGATCACCGGGATGCGCGGACCGAACGGTGTGTCACTATCCAGAGACAGAAAGTAAGTTTATGTGTTTTATTTTGATAAAGTATTTTTAGTAAAGGTAGCATGCGTTTGTTCTTGATATCTTCTTTTTCTACTGCTTATTTTCCTTGTAATATCCCAACCGTATCTGCGCCTTTCATCCCTCCTCCTATTATTACTACTGCTGCGGCTACTAGTGCTTCCACTGTCACCATCATTAAGTTAGTTGCGTATCCTTTGCAGGATGTTGCAGAACCAACCTCAGCATTTTTTTTTTAGCTGTTGTAGTTTTTCTAGGGAAATGTTACGTTCAGTAGTTTGCCATTGTTTAATGAACGGTCAGCTCTCGGTATCACTGTCGAAACCAATGCTAAACAAATCGTTCGTAGCTGGGATTGAACCCGACAGACATCCTGACATTACGAAGGGCGCTCGCAACGCCTAAGCCACAGATGCTGACGTTAACATCATTATCACCACCAATATTACTCCATCATCATCAATATTTTCTTTTTCTTTCTTCTCCTTTTCGTTCCAGCTCAAAATGCCCCTAACAAAATAAATCAGCAGTTTCAGGTTCAGGACATGTCAGCCCAGCTTTTAGTGGAAGTCGACGGAGACTATATCTGTTAACTCAAAGCGGGAAAATAACACGAAGAATGTCGTGTGTAATAAATTCCTCATGACGCATAAAAACGTAATTCGTGCCTGCTACACAGAAATAGCTACACAGACCTAGTTTGAAAATGATTCTGTAAGTCCATGACAAACGAGACAAACAATAAAATCGAATGAGGTTTCAATCGGTGGTTTCAAAAAATGCTTTTAATTTTACGTATAGCAAAAAAGTTAATTTTCATAGTTTTGAAAGAGGATAGGCGGCGACAGTTATTTATTACAAATACAGTTATTCAATATTAATTGAAGAATCGACATAATGTGATACCGGACGTGTCTACACATGCTCCGTCTACTGCAACAAATTTCTCAAGGTATAGATTGTAGATGCTAAATGTTCCAATATAATTCTAGATTTACACGCCACATATTCTTTCTCTGATATATTCTTTATTGCGAGATCCCATAAGGAGCAGCTGGCCGAACGGTTGAAACGCTGTGCTCTTAAGCGGGAGACCCGGGTTCGTATCCTCGGTAAGGTTTTGTTTTTAAAGATTTTTTTTGTCAGGGGCAAAATAAAATTCTCCCCTGCATAGTCGTGGCGACAGCACTAGCCATGCCGCCGTATATCCTCAGGCTCAAAGACTACCCTGCCTACACCGCGAAAGTGGTAATAAAAGCAGTTATTGTGGGGTCCACTTCCGAATTCGCAAAACCTCACACTTGTCATGTCATTATCTTCTATCAACATTCGTTTATAAATAGTCTTCACAAATCTGTTTTGTCCATTTTGATTTTTCCGACAACTGTCCCTTTTGTGAGGGAAAAAAAAATCCCGCTTTTAAAAATACAACAAAGAAGAAAGTCGACATTTTTGACAACATTATGAGAAGCGGAAAACCTAAAAAGCTTGTGACAACTAGAAAGATTTACATCTTTGAAAAGAGACATAAAATGAGACAGCAAGGGAAGATTCTTGATAGACATTTCTTTAAGCGTCCTAAAGACCGAAGTTCTATTTATTATTAAACAGTTCTTAATGCTAGTCGGATCTTGCTAGTCAGCGGCGTACCTAGGGTATGGCAGATGGGGCCAATGACCCGGGCGCCACTTAAAGGGGACGCCAACAAACTCAGTTAAAATTTTTTTTTTTAAATTTCCTGAATATACACTATTAAGACTCTGAAATTAGCTCCAAAACAGCACCAGCTAATGAAAATTCTAAAATGTCTCTCCCCCCCCCCCCTTTCCTTTCACCCCCCCCTTTTTCCTTTCACCACCACCCCCGAACGCCAAATACCTTACAAACGCTGCTGTTGGTAATTGTACTGGTCATCATCAGGTGCTCTACTTCCCATGCCTAGCTGTATTCCAGCTATTTTTTTCTGGAAAGATGCTAACCAAAATATTACAGCTTTACTGAAGCATAATCTAATGCAAATTTCGATGAAATAAAGTATAGATTACTAGTGGCTTTTTTTTTACCTACAAAAAGAAAAAAAAAAAAAAAAAAAAAAAAAAAAAGAAGATGCCGGTACTCAGAACAAATCTTCTAAAAAGGTGCCAGTACTCAACACTAAGTGTCTATTACATTGGTGCCGAAAAAATTCTTGAAATACACACACACACACACACACACACACATATAATACAAACCTGTCGGTGCTACCGTAGCCTGACTAAACTCAAATCAAAACAATGAAGTGTTTTTTTTTCTTTCTTTCAGAAACTTGTACGTGAACCTACCATTTACCGGCTCCATGAAAGTGTTCGACATCAAAGCTGATTACTCCTTGACTGAAATCCAATCCTTGCTTCTGTATACAGGAGCTGATAACCTACACGTTTCACAATCCGGGGACGCACTCTACACAGGAGCTCATCCAGTGCTATCCAAAATTATGGAACACATCAGCGATCCTTCACAAAAGGCTCCTTCATCGGTGAGTCATACATGCTTTGTCAAAATATCTTTCCAGTGTGAGCAGGAGTGTTAGGTTTAATCACTGGTCATTTGTCTTGTAATGATCAAGCGACTAGACGATCGAACTGAGCCTCTGACAATGTGGATATTCAGAAGAACAGGTCGTATTTTATGGTAACAAAAGCAATCATATACATATGGTTTAGACTGCGAATGGGAAAACAGTTACTGAAATTATTTAAAAAAAAAAAACAATTCGCAGAACGTCGCTCTCATCACGGTCTGCCTGAAAGAAACTCGGTCTCTAGCCAACTCTCCCACCTCGTATACTTTCATATTCAAAGCGTCACTTATATCCTGTGCCCATCGTCTTGTTGTGTATTATAACGGATCATTTGCACAATACACACACTGTATTTGATCCGCGGTGACACTTCTTCTTCTCTTCTTCACTTCCTCTTTTACCGCTGTGGGTGTCGAGGGAGATATAAGGTTCTGTTTCTAGCTCTTCTGGCCGAATCGACCATAGGCACATCGTGCTGTTATAGAGTTTCTCTGATGTTTTCCTTCCATTTTGTTCTTGGTCTACCTCGTGCTCTACGTCCTTTTTCTCTTTCCATGTATGCTTTGTATGGTATGGTGTCACAAGGCATTCTCTCTAAGTGGGCAAACCATTTCATTTGCTGTCTTTGTATGTAATTTAGAATTGGTTCTGTGCCGACGTTTTCTCTTATGATCTCCTTCCTGATCTTATCTCTTATGGTCACTCCTACAGCCCTTCTCAGACATCTCATTTCCATGGTTACTAATTTTTTTTTAATGGTTTGTTGTGAGTGACCATGTCTGGCACTGGTAGCACAGAGTTGGAATAAATATGCTTTGAATAAGATGTCTCTCTGTGCTGATTGGGATTGTCTTATGCTGTAAGACACTAGTGACACTGTGATTACTAAATGTGTCTGCCATGACAGCAGACTTAACGCATTCCCCAAATGTCTAGGAAAAGAACCCCTAGCGAGAAGAAGGTTTCTTCTATAAAACTAACCTTAGCTCCAAGGTTGACCCGCCATAATATGTGTAGCAAGTAATGTGCTTGAAACTAAAGGCGACCGGTGCGATGTTAATCATATCATCCACCGAATATTGATTGGCCTAAAAAAAAAAATGGGTCTAGCGTCTTATGCCCTGTTCGCCACTGGAAAGAAAGAAACAAGTTTTAGAAATAATTTTCCAAACTTTCTGAATATGGGAAAGCCTAACACATCTTACTCCCAAGGCAGTACCTGTCATGGATTACTTTGACTATGATTATACTTATGTTATTCCTCATTAATTTCTGTGTCTTCCTCAGGTACTGAAGTTACCATTGAACAATGGGAAAGTCGATACAGAAAAGATTACTGAGCTGTTTTACGACCATGGTGAACTCATCAGTGGCTCCTCTGTGGCGGCCGTCCACAACAACCAGCTTCTCATTGGATCTGTCATCCACAAACTTGTCATCTGTGATGCCAACATCAAACTATAGATTATGTTCTTTAAAAAAAAGTTAGACTTTCAGGACATTTATTAGAAAACAGCGTTATTACTTACTTAATCTTACACCGGGCAGGTGTCTGTGGCTTAGGCATTGTGTACCCGCTTCGTATTTCATAAACACCTGGTTCGTTTCAGATTCAGATGATTTGGCAACAGACTGCTTTGCGTTGATTCAGACACTGGTTGGGGGAGGGGGGTGGTGTCGATCACAGTTCAGGAAGCATTGACAAAGTACTGAACTTAAAATTGTCTTGTAAAACCGTAATTAGCCAACAAACGCGGGAGTTAGTTCTGCAGCGTCCTGAAAAGAATACTCTTCTTTCTTCTTCCTTTCTCTTTGCCGCTTCTGTGTCGAGAGAGATATGTGGTTCTACTTTTTGCTCTCCTAGCTGCCTAGACTATAGACACATCTTTCTGTTGTAGTTTCTCTGATATTACTTTTCCATATGGTTGTTGGTCTTCCTCATGCTCTATGATTCTCTCCTTTTTTGGTGTATGTTTTGTATGATATGGGGTTACAAGGCATTCTCTCTAAGTTCAGTTCCCTTTTCCACGCCTTAAGGGCATATAGACCAACATTTTAAAAGACCAATCGGCACACGATAGATAATGTGATCAGCATCACGCCGGCCGCCTTTACTTCTTGGGACTGCACCCGGTACCCACTCAAGGCTGGGTCGACCTGAGAGTCAAGGTCATTTTTTAAAAAGTCCGGCTCAGCCAGGCAGCGAATCCAGGACCTTCCGATCCGCACGCGAAGCGACTCCCCAAAAGTCAGTAGTCATCAAAATTGCACGACCTCGAGAAAAAAAAAATCCTAAATAACTTCAAGCCGTGTCCGAACGTTTCTATTATTCACCTCTGTGATGTTTGAAAATTTGTATTCCACGTTTACACTACCTGAAGCTCAATTAAATTTCATTTGTTGAATGTAAAATTACCTGTTTTTTTTTTTTTTTTTAAATTTATAAAACGTACGTTGTTGGAAAATATTAGATACATGTTAGACACTCACTCTCTCACTTACTCTTACACACTGTCAAACACACTCTCACACACTCACTCTCTCTTACACAAATACACTCTCTCACCCACTCTCTCACACACTCAAACACACTCACTTTACCTCACTCACTCTCACTCACTCACTTACTTACTGACTGACTGACTGACTGACTGACTGACTGACTGGCTGACTGGCTGGCTGACTGACTGACTGACTGACTGACTGACTGACTCACTGACTCACTGACTCACTCACTCACTCACTCACTCACTCACTCACTCACTCACTCACTCACTCACTCACTCACTCACTCACTCACTCACTCACTCACTCACTCACTCACTCACTCACTCACTCACTCACTCACTCCCTCCCTCCCTCACTCACTCACTCACTCACTCACTCGCTCACTCACTCACTCACACACACTTTCACGCATTCTCACACACATATTCTCACAAACACTAAACTCCCTCACTATCTCACACACTGACTCTCTCATTCACTCTCATACATTCACTCACTCTCACACTCACTCTCGCTCATTCTTACACACTCACTCTCTCACAATCATTCTACTCACTCTCTCTCACTCTCTCTCTCACACACTCACTCTCTAACTCTTTCATGCACCCTCACACACACTCACTCTTCAGACAGTGATAATCTAATTGTGCCTCTGCGCTATTCCCTCTCTCCCAGAGCCACATTTAGTTTGTTATCTATAAATTTACCACCGTTTCCCAACACACATTCATAAGTAAGTAAAGTGAAGATCCTTTTTCACGCCTTAGGCGCATCGGGCATATGGGAAGAGCGTCCCATATTTTTACAGACCAATCGGCACTAGGTGGGTAATGTGGTCAGCATTACGCCGAACGTCTTTAATTTCCCAGGACAGCCATCCTGGTACCCATTTTAGGCTGGGTCGACCTGCGACGCCCCATACCATGATAAAAATCCACGCAGCCAGCAGTGGATTTCGATCGCGGTACGTTGGATTACGAGTCGGACTCGCAACGCCTAAGCCAAGGACGCCGCACACACATTCATACCCCGCATAAAATATCGAAAAGATGCTTACTACCGTATAACTCCAAAGCAATGCTTCCCACTCTGCACTGAGCATACCTCTCCACCTTTTACAGCATGCTTTGCGATCGGTCACGTGACCACCTCTACCTCCATTCTCAAACAACGTTGTGATGTCAAATGCCAGGTTTTGTTACGCTAAGGATCGTCCATTACTTTTGCTGTCAAACCTCGTGCACTTCTCATGCCTCTCAACACAGAGCCATCGGTATAGATAATCACATCACCTGGGTGGAAATTGTCACGGCAGCACCAACTGGCCAGCCCCTGCACCCTCGACCCAGTGCGATTAGAACCCTACACAAGCCTAATTGTTGCTGGACCACTCTGACTCACTTATCGCCTCGCCAAATATTTTCAAGCATGCAGACAGGACTAGGTTTTTTAAATTATACATTTTACTTTACACATTGGGGGAGAGGGGGGGGGGGGGGGGGCATGCAGTGGGGAACTCAAGAGGTCTAAGTCTGGTTGATAGTAATTTTGTTGCTGTCATAACAAATGTTATTGTTTCTGTGGAATATGTGACGAATTCAGGCCCAGCTACACACACATGAGTGACAGAGTCTGACCAGGACACCCGTGATTGGACGTTCTTTCATGCGTCTTGACCTCTGAGACGCGCAAGTTTAAGTGACAGGGGTGTCAGCTTGTGGCGCCAATGTATTCTGTCGACGGTCTTACCGGTGACCACGCGTGCTCTATATTACAGAATGAGAGCGCTTTTAACGATCCCATAACATGTACAATTGGTCCTAACCCAGCCTCCGCCCCCACCGACACATTGCGCCTAGGTTTAAGGAGAGAGTGCATTCTACATCCCGTATTTTCACTCTTAACATTTTGCGGTGGCCCTAAAATATTGTGTTGCTGCAGACATGCAACTGTACCCTCATCGTCGCCCGCCAATGCTGACAGCTGGAATCAATTTATCTCCTACTGAAAATCCTAGAAGGTTGTCATATACTGACCAATAAACACTAATTCTGCTTACGAGTGAAAACGTAAAGTCGGTTGCCGCCGCTCCCAGAAGGAGCGATTAATTAACACGCAACGCAGGAAGCTTTGTCAATAAAGCCGTACACCGGGACACCCCTCTAACCTTGAGCAATGTTTACTAGCCTAAGCGAGCATCAATGAAAGGTCAGCTAGTGTGTAGATGGGCGGAGCTGGGCTAGTTCGTTACTAGTTCCATTTATGTTCTAAAGTTAAATGCCATTGCGGTTTAGAAAAGCATTTCTGGAGGGTAGCGTTATGGAAGAAAAGCCAGGTGTAGACCATCACAAAGGCCGACACAGGATCTTGGTGACATTTCTGAGGCAATGGATTTACTGATGTAGGAATCGGCATAATAGCCCAGTAGGATACCCATAGATGCTACTTCTCCAGCAGCGAATGTCTTTTGGTATAGATGCTTACTGTTCTCGTTGCGCACTGATTATACACATGCCATTCTTTTTCCTTTCATACGCCCCTCTTTGTCTGGTCCCCACTTAATTCCTCGTTCGCACATTCTTTCACAATGCTAATTCATCTAACCTCGTGTCTTCTATCAGCACTCGTTCATAAACGGTTTTTAGAATGTCTCCTTGTCAAGTTCCAGAGTACCTGTAGCTATCAAATTTGCAGCCAGAAAATCTGCTCTTTAGTTTTCTTGCCCTCCTGCATCTCCCAGACCATTCGAGTCTCTGTCTATCTATCTATCGATCTTCTTTTACCCCACTAGGACATCACACAAGCGATAAACACTCGATGACACAAAGTGACACCATGTGGATGAGGATCACCCGTGGAGAGGTCGCGGAAACCGCGTTCAGCCATAAGGCCATATTTTTGGCTGAGCTATATTGCGGCCCCTGGCAAGAGCCAGAGTGGGGCTTCAAATAATAAAAAATTGCATTTCACAAAGGGATGACTAAGAATAATGAAAGACGAGACCCTGTAACGCCGACATGCTAATGCTTGGTATCCACTCATGCCACATTTGTATATTTGAACTTTTCCTGTACCGACTAAGAATTAGTCACTATAATTCCTTCAGCTATTTTATTTTCTGCTATCCACTTCAGAGCTGCAGTGACTGCCTCTACCTCTGTGACAGTTTATGACCTAGCAGGTGGAATGGTTGGTTTCTAATCGGAAGACTTGGATTAACTGTTATAGAAAAGTGGTGGATTGTTTCCCTGTCAAGGATAAACATAAAAATCATTTCGTCTTGAACTCATGCGGCAATAAATTTATAGGCTCAAGATCTCCACCCCCCCCCCCCCACACACTACCTTTCCTTTCCTATCCTACATCATCATCATCATGTATCATGTCCTTTGCAGAACGTCGCTCTCATCAAAACAAACTCGGTCTCTCCCCAGCTCTCCCGCCTCATGTACTTTCATATCAAAAGAGTCACTTATATCCTGTGCCCATCTTCGTGTTGGTTGGCCTCTGCTCCTCCTTCCTGGTACCATGCCTTGTGCTATTATATTTTCCAAAATATTTCAGCTTCCTTCCTTTCCTACATTGCCCTAAAAAGTGGTAAACGGAAGTAATAAAAACTACCATTGAGTATGATGATGCTATTTAGGCTGAACCAAAATGCTGCAGTCACTGTTCTGAAAAGATACTTGAATCGACACAGACATTAATCACTTGAGTTTACGGTTAAATGCTTTTCCGTTTGCTTAGCGGAAACTCGTCTTCTGGTTTTGACACAGACATGGAGCAAAACCAGTTTGTATTGTATGTAAGCGTGTTTATTTTCGACGCTGTTTGCATATTTCGTGACCTTTAAGGAAGGAGACACGAATTTTTGAATGTCATAATTATAATTTATATATAAGGTTTGACTATAAACGTTGAAGTGTGTAGCATATTGTGGAAGCTTGTTTTCTGCT